TCCATGGGGGATGCCCCTTTCAGCCCCACCTCCCATTCCTGCAGGACCCCCACGGAGATGACTTGCTCTATGCACTCAATTAAGCAGACACGTGCAGCGAATGCAACCCCAGATAACCTGATGGCGAGCATGGTTCACCGAGCGTCACCCAACACCCGCAGAGAGGCAGCCCCGCCCTGAAGCGCCGTCTGGCTCGCGGACGGTCACCTCTTTCCACCAGATGTTTTGTTTTGGGGGGGTCTGCAAGGCCACAGCCCCTGAGTGCAGAGAGGCCGAAAGCGACCCGCACACCCCAATACTCGGCACCACCCAACTGGGTTGTGCCTGGGCCGGGTGTCCACGCCACTCCCTCTGCCCCCTCCCGGCGGCGTGTGAAAGTGAGAAGAGAGAAAGGAGACATTAAGCGAGCGGCCCTACAATTAGAGCTGCGCTGTTTACCACTGCGAGAGCGCTCTGCCTGCCAACGCCGCCACCATCACGTCTCCCTACAGCCGGCTCCCCCCAAGTGTTTATTTAAGCCAACACATTGCTCTGCTAATTGGATAACATTCCATGTGAAAATAGACCTTTTAAAACAACAGCAGTGGCGGCAAATAAAAACAGCTGCAACTGCAAAAGTACAAAGGCGAGGCAGGCTTGGGAAGGGGAATTAAAGGCGCAGGCCTGGGAAAAAGCCGGGTCTGGGTTTCTGGGCTGCAGGTCTGTGCTCTGGGTCTTCCCCATCCCCAGACAGGTCCCGGCTGGGCAAAGGGAGAAGAGGCAGGGGCCTCTGAATGGACCCCCTCTTGGCAACTGGATGACATGCCTGGCTGGGGAGCCCAGTTCACCTGTCCAGGTAGAAAGCTGCTGCCTTCGAGGCCAGCCACTGCCCTGGGCTTGGGGGGAGGGGGTTGGGAGAAGACTTCTGCTGTGCTGTGGGGGCTACTATGGGAATGTCCACTCCACTGGCACTGGGGAGACTTGTCCCCGGGAAGTGTTTGAGGGGCAGTTTCTCCCTCCTCCTTCCTACACAATGTCTAATTGTCCTTATCTTTGGTAAGGTGTTAAGGCCGGTGAGCTGACAGCTATGGTGTAAAGAGGCGGGCTGGCGTGGGGGAAGTCCTAACTATGTGGGCTTTGGAATCAGATAGCCCTGCAGGGTTCTCCATGTCTGCCCAGGGCTGGCTGTGTGGCCCTGGGCAGGTGACTTCATTCCTCTGAGCCTCAGTTTCTCCATCTATCAAAAGCTCCCCTAGTATCTCCTACAGTATTGGGAGGTTTAAAATGATGAATGAAAATGCCCAGCAGCATCCCTGCCAAAGACGGGCTTTTTAGAAGTTGATTTTTTTAATGCCAAGATACTGCCTTTCCAGAAATGTCCTCAGGGCCAGAGGACCTAACAGTGCCTGAGACACCAGGGACAGCCACGCCCATAAGCACAGACCCAGGCCACCCTGGACGACCACTGCACTTGCCCTCCTGTCTGCCTCGTCACCCTTTGTCCTCGCTTCTCTCCATCCCGTGCGAGAAGGTTCTTGAAAACACCAGATCATCAACCTAGAGGTTTAGATAATACTGGCACTTTGGAGGGCTTGCCAGTCACTGCCGGACATCGTAGGCTGGTCGAACGTCCTGGCTGGGAGAACACACCAGCTCAGCGAGCCTGTGCCAGGCCCCACCCCCAGCCTAGCATCCCAGACGAGAGCAGGTCCGGGCTTCCCCTCGGCTCACGCACAGACGGAGCTGAGCAAACACTCGCAGAACTTGGGAGGGAGTTATGCAAATCTCCTGCCCGACTCCAGGGGCGGCTGCAGGTTGGGATGAGACAATGCGTGTGCGGAGTACATGTCACATACAAAGCCGGAGCGGTGGGTCGAGGAGCTTCTGGCTATTGTCATCAGTTGCCTGGTTACTCTGAGCTCTCCCACGGCAGCCCTCGTGGAGTCCCGCGCCAGGATTCTCTCTCCTCGCTGGGTGTGTGTGCTTGACCCAGGGGGCGTGCTGGATAACGCGTGTTCACAGCGATGTTGAGAGGGCACATGGGTGTCGAGCAGAAAGGCCAGAGACTCGGAGTTCCTGGGTGCAGGGGGGACCAGACAGGCCCGTGACTGGGGCCCAAGCAGAGCTGCTGGTGCTGAGGGGATGAATTTATGACCAGCTGGGGCTTCATTCTTCTCACTCACTCGGCCAGCTGGCGAAGCGAAATGTTGGATGCTGGGGAAGGAGCACTGCACTGGGAGTCGACATGCCTGCTCAGACTTCAGCGCTGGCGCTGCCCAGAAGCCATGTGTCTCCACTGCCTTCCAGGCACGAGGCTCTACGATCGGCTTCGGCTCCCTCCCTGCCTCTCTTTCCTGACACTGGCCAGCGCCTCTGAGCTTTTTCTCCCCTTCTCCTTTTCTCCTGCCTAAGGACTGCCGGAGCCCGAGCAGGAGGAGGCTTCTGTCTTCAAGCCCAAGTGGTTGCTGATGGCAAAGGAACGGCGGCTGTTGACGCTCAGGAGGGGCCGGGACAGGAGGCGGGAGAAAAGCCGCCAGAGCGGGGAGGGGGACTTGATGGGTCAGGGTTCAGCCCAGCCTCGGGAAGGGTTTCTGAAGGAGGAGTCCTCCCCAACATGCTTCAAAAGAAATGCTGCAGGGGTGCTCACCCCACAACCCTGGGGACGGTGGTGGAGGTCCCGCTTCCAGCCCTGAGATTCCTGTGAATCCCTTCTACCGAGATAAAAAAGGTCTCGGGATTTTTACTGAATGTCTCCTGGCTGCGCTGCTTTCCCTCTGCAAGCTCCCGCCCAGCCTCGAGCTAATAGATATTTACAATATTCAGAATCCTATTCACCCAACACGCCGCGCGCACGGTCTGCGGGTCAGCGGAGAGCACTAAATGTTCCACTCGGAAGACAATAAAGTTCTTCAGGCAGACAGGGAGGAGAGTGAGAAGCTCGGCAGCTTCCCCGGGAAGCAAAAAGAGCAAAGGGAGCTTTGCAGGAGGCGTGCTCCTGGGGGTGCCGGCTTCCCGGGCGCGGGCTGCGTGGCAGTGGGCACAAAGGGCCCTTGTCCTGGCGCCAGGAGAGGAAGAGCCGCCGCGGGGCTGCGGACCAGGCAGAACCCGGGAGGGCTGGGCCGCCGCCTGCTGGAGGCAGAGGCAGGAAGAGCCAAGCTCGCAGGGGCTGAGGGCTGAGTCCTCGCTGTCCTCACGGCCCTTTCTCCTGCTGGAACCCAGAATCAAGGCAGGGAGGGAGGGTAGGAGCCACCTTCACACACGGCCAGAGGGCCGGCCGGCTGCGGAAATCACCTCTGCAGCCTGGTCTCCACTGCCCCGTCCACCTGAGATCCCACCTTCCGTTCTAATGATCCCAGAGAATAATCTGTATCGACCGCAGCCTGGCAAGGGGGCCTGTCTGATCTAACCCGCTGTGCCCCAGAGCCATGTCCGTTTTGACATCGACCTGGGCGGAAGGACGGCTTCCGGGGGGAGGGGCTCTGAAACCCCCTTTCTCTGCTCTTCCTCGCCTCTCTTTCTCAGATTGTCGCCATCAATGCCCCCGTCACTACCCTCCTCCGCCTCCTCAGAGCTAAGCCAGCTCACAGGGGCCAGGCTCCCATCCAGGCCTTACCACAAGTGGACGCGGAAAAGCCCACCACCGTTTTAGAAAAGAGAAAACTGAGGCACGCAGAAAGTGGGCCGCTTGCCCAAGGTCACGCGGCAGGTAAGCAGCGGGGCTAGGCCTTGAACTCAGGCTTCCAAGCCTGTGCTCTGACCACTAGCCAGCACGTGGGCGCCTTAACACGGGTGGGGAGAGAGACCCCCTCACTTCTCCTCCAATCACAACCTCACTTGGGATCCCTGGCACAGAACAGATGGCGCCGGGTCCACGCCTTCACCCAGCAGCTTGAGGATGAGTGCAGCGAACATGGCCCTGCAGTCCCCTTCACTCTGCCACGGACGATGGACAGACAGAAGGATAGACAGACAGCTCTGAGGGCGCTGGGCCGGTGGGAACGAGGAAACCGCTGCTTGCCTGGAGGACCCTGTGTGTCACCTCTCCTCACTCTGTGAGGGTGGGTGGTTTTCATTCCTGTTTTACAGATGAGGAAACCGAGGCACAGGGCAGGGCTAGGGGAGCCAAGCTGTGCTCGGACAGCTTCCTCCATGGCTCCGTCTGAGCAGACGTGGGGACCCCGGGGTGGCTGCCCTGCTGCTGAGTGTCAGGGCTGGGTGGTGTAGGCTGTCAGGGACAGCAGGCCAGGGAAAGGCTGCTGGCCGAGAAGAAAGAGGAGTAGATGTCTGGATAAACATGGCGATGTGTCAATAAAACAGGCGTTTGCATTCAGGTCAGGCTGGAGACAAAGGTGGTTGGCAAGGCTCCCCGAGAACCCAGGGTGCCCTCCCTACCCATGCCTGTTCCCAGGGCCCACAAAGTGTTATTGTCACTCCATCACGCCCTCGAGGGCAGAGACTTAGGGGGAAAATGCACATGAGGACAGAGCCACTGCCGCCTCCCTTGGGGATTCTGTGAGGGACGTGACCAAAGACACAGTTGGAACCCCACAAGCCCTCACATGAGCTTCGTGGCTGGGGGCGGGGCCCTAGGACCCACTCAACATTGCATCCCACCAGACTGCACCTACCCACATCCAGGGAGGCTGCCCTGCTTCCAAATAAAAGGGGTCCTGCAAACTGACCCCCACAGCACCTGGGGTGCCTGGCTCACCTCACCTGTAACCAACACGGCCATCAGCAGGAAAGGGGGAGGCACGCACCTCAACTGGGTGTCTCGTTGCCACCTCTAAGCACCATCCCCTGACACCCTGCAATCCACTTCTGGGGGGGTTATGACCTAGGGGCTTCCTCACTTTGCATCCCAGGTTTGTGTGTGTGTGACGTGGGGGAGGGTGGGACACAGAACAGGCCCTTCCTCCTCTGAACACAAAACCAGGGGGAGGAGGCGGGGGCGTATGGGGTGCTGACACACCCTCACCCACCGTGAAGGTCCAGAGAGGAGATGCCTGTGCCTCACTCACCTTGGCATCCTGCTTGGTGAGGAAGTCCACAAAGCCAAACCCTCTGTGCGCGCCTGTCCCAGCCATCTTCTTTGGCAAGCGGACGGTCTTCAGCTCCCCGAAGGTGCTGGAAACAAAAGGCAGAATACGGGAATATAAGAACCGAGGTTTGGGGGACTCAGGACATTCTCACACTGATCCCGTCTGGATAAAGAAGTGCTGACTGACAGTATGTACACACATACACACACACACACACACACACACAGAGTCTATCCTGTGCTCTGGGACACAAGTGGCCTCCTCCTGCTGGGCCTGGGCCATCAAGCTGGGCAGGCAGGGAGTGGTCAGGCTGGAGACCTTTCAGTTTCTCTGCTGTCCCTCGGCATCCCCTGCCCATCACCCCCCCGCCCCCGAGAGGGGCACACACTCAGCAGGGATCCAGCCTGGTACACGGGCCCAGGACGGGGCCAGGGCCAGGCTCCGTGGGCTCTCCTGACCCTCTAACCCTCCTCCCAGGCTGAGCTGAGGGAGCGGGGCCCCTTCTCCCAGACCCGGGGCTGGGATACTGCCCCAGCACTCGAGGCTTGAAAGATACACAGTGACTCCCTCTAAACCCCACTTTCCCTCCCCAGGGCTTTCGTTTTGATATCTGCTAAGCCAAAGTCGGGCAAAGCTCTGAAGAGGAAAATGACTTGGGCCCCCCGACGGGATCACACAGGCAAACACGGCATCGCACAGCCCCCGGGCACCTGCTCGGAGACACTCCAGGACCAAAGCAGCCGGCCCGCCTGGCTCTCCCGTCTCAGCACCCTCCCTCCTCCACCCTGCCCCGCACCCCTTCCCGATGTCCATTTATCAAACACATACGCACAAATTGCTGCCGATAAATATTTAATGTGCACGGCATCTGAAGAGAGGTATTATTATATTTGAAAACCTACACACACTCGCGGGCGCCTGGCGCACACGCGCCGCGACATCTAGGAGGCTCCAGGGCCAAAGACCGATTGGGTAGAAAACACAGTAAAGGCCCTAAGCGCTCGGGAAATGATATAAGCTAAATCCGAGGCGTTAACCCACAGCCCTGCCAGCATGACCAGGCATCTGCCAGCCCAATTTCTGCAGGCAGGACGGTGTGTAAATGCGGCGTTATGAATCCTCAAAATGAATCTGCACGTCTCCTCCAAGCTCTCCCGGCGGCTCGGCTCCCCCCTCCGGGCCCTCTCAGAGCAGCCCCCAGAAACAGGGCTGCTGGCGGCAGGGCCAGCCTCCTGGGGAGGGCGGGGCCGGGGAGGGTGGGGGTGCAGCCCTGTCAGTCTCGCTGGCTACTGGCTGGAGGCCCATCTGTTGGGGCCCAGAGGCTGGGCAGGTGGAGACAAGCTAGAAGGTGAGGGGACAGAAAGGAGAGGAGCCCACAAACTCTGCTTTATTCTGCCACCTAAAGGCTGACGCTCCCCACAACAGCCCTCTGCTGCCTCTTCCTCTGTGGAAGCCCAGGGGCCTCTGCCAGACTGGCCTGGCTGCCAGGGCGGGGACGGCCAGCTCTTCTTGTGGGCTCATTCAGATCAATGGCTCTTTGGCTCCAAGTTCAGAGCCACGGGTGGGGTGGGGGGGATCCTGAGACCCCAGCCTGAGGTCTGAGAGCAGACAGGCCCAGGGTGTGGAGGGCAGGGCACAAGGGAGCCTTGGCGATCATTTCTCGTGTGCCAGGGCCAAGCCCCCGGATGCAGATTGCTGTAGACACAGGGTTACAGGCAACCTGTGGATGCTCATCTCTTGGCCCACCTCTCCCCCCTGCCTACCTCCAGGCTCTTCCAGCCTCAGCTTAACTGTTGCTGTTTCCAAGCAGCCTTTGCTGATGGGCTGGGTTAAAGCCCTGCTGCCACTGGGGTGCCCAGTGTGGCCACCGTGCAGTGTGGTGGGGAAGCCTAGGGTGCGCTCTGCCACCGTGGAGCCCACGATTTCCTTGCTCCTCCTGGGGTCTGCAGCAAGGAGCCCAGCACCTGGCTGGGAGTGGGCGCCCGATGGTCCAGCTGCGGCTGCAGCCCCAGAAGGCAGACATGAGCACCAGTACTTCTCCCTGCAGAGGGTGGCAGCGAGGAGTAAGTGGAAATGGGTCACGGGCGACCTAAGCACAGAACATGTGTTCATGACGATGAGTCTCACTACCCCCATTTTACAGGTGAAGAAACTGAGGCCCAGGGAGACAGCCCTTCTTGTCAGTGGCAGGGCTAGAAGGTGGGTGGTGTTGGGTCTCGGGGGAAGGCTGAGCTCTTTGCTGTACGATGCTTCCCTCCAGCACTTTCCCCGGTGGACCAGCCATGTTCAGGGTGTGGTCTCTTTCTGAGGTTTGGCCTGTCATGGTGGGAGGCAGGAAGAACTCACGTGGGGGTGGATAGGGAATTGGTGGTGGCGAGGAATACTCCATGTCGCCTCTGAGGGACTCACCCAAAGCCGTGGGGCAAGGGAGGCCAAATGAATGCCAGTTCCTTGTGCCAACCCTCCACCTCTGTCACGGGGACTTCAGTCCTAGGCCCTGATGGTGTCAGTGGCCTCTGCCCACATCTAATTTCTGGAGAGCCAGCCTGCATGTGTGTGCGTGTGGAGAGGGGGAGGGGGGGAGCTGCGGAGGCTGCTTCCTCCCTCTGCAGCGCACTGCAAGCTGCCGACGCTCTGTGCATGGTAAGCAGCTAAGGGTCCGGAGAAAGGCGAGGAAAATAATTAAAAGGTGGAGAAAAAAGCTGATGAGGAGAGGCTGAAGGAGCTGTGCTTCGCGGCCTGGAGGGGTGCACTGCAGAGCCGGGCACGGGGCAAAGACAGGCACCCTGGATCCACGTGGGATCAGGGAGCTGGAGATTCTGTCCCAGCAGCAGGGGGCCGGGGGGGGGGGGGGCCCTTGGGGCATCTCTGGCCTGTCAGGGCTTTTGGAGGAACATCTGCACACAAGTTAAAAGCTGTCTGAAGACTCTAGTGGCTCCCCAAATCCTGTTATTCTTCAGGGCCGGGGAAATGGTTACTGTGAACGTGTTTCTCCCTTCTGAGAAACAGACCGGCCAGAGCCGCATGTCGTGGGATAGATCTTTGAAGGGACTTCCCAGCGTCCGTGAAGCCTGAAATGAATGGCTGAGGCTTCCAGACGCCATATTGCTGCCGTCACCCCAGCTACCAATGAGCTTGTGCCCGTGACGTGCTAGGCCTTTTAAATGCATCGTTCCCACGATGGCGGGGCGTGTTCCTGGCTGTTTCTACAGATGAGAAAAACAGGGCCAGGGAGGCAAAGTGACCTGCCCCCGTCCCACAGCCTGGGACTCGGGGCCAGGCCAGCTCCCGGTCACTCAGGTGGAGAACAAAGCTGGGAGGGCGGGCAGCCCTGTAGCTTCTAGGACTGTGCAGGGGGGTGAGGTATGAGGCTGATACTCACGATCTCAGAGAGATATCGAAAGAGAATTAAAATGAAAAAAAAAAAAAAAAAGGGTTGGGAGGAAAAAAAATCGATGAAGTACCTTTAGCTCCTTGGAGATAAGCGATATATAAATACCAGCCATTATTAAGGGTCTTATCTGACAGCAAGGTCCATGGAGCCATTTTTAAGAGCGGCTTTGGAAGGTAGCGTGGCACGAACCCTGTTCTTTGGGGAGCAGAGGCCGCAGCCCGGCGAGACCGGGCAGGGCCGCTGGGGACAGGAGCGGATGGAAAATCACAGGCACCCAGGAACTCCCCCCAGCCCAGCCTCTGGCGCCCAGGGAAGGAGACGTTACGCTCCCCACTGTGTAGATAATAGAAACCACAAAATAGCAATTACTGTATCAGAAGCTGTGAATAAAGAGGACATACCAGGCTTTTAAACATGGCCCTCCTTCCCTCCCCCACCACGCTCACACTTCAGTAACAAACTCACACCTCACTTTTCCAATTATTCCATTCACCTCGGGTTCACCAATTACTCCCCCACCCAAGCCGCAGCCCCACCCCCTCTGCGGCAGAGCAAGGGCTGGTGGCGGGTTTGGGGGCTTTTCGACAACAGGAGTTTGTTGTCACGTTTCTAATTTCTTTCGAGGTGTGTGGGGGTGGGAGGGGCGGGAGGAGGTGGGAGCGGGCCCTGAGGTGTTGAGCGAGGCAAGCCAATTATGCCCGGGCCTCATCAACAAGTCCGGGATGCAAATGGTGTTTGCACACAGGCCCAGACCAGACACAACACGGTGTGTGCGCCCTGCCTGCTGCTGCTGCAAGCTGGCGGCCCGGCCCGTCCTGCTGCAGCCCCACAGGGCAAGGGCTCCGTGAGACCTGGCTTCTGAGAGGGACGAATCCTCCTCAGCCTGCAGTGAAGTGAGGGGATCAGGGGGACGGAGGGCAAGGAGGGGTGGGCAGAGAGACCCACCCCTCCAGGGATGCTGGGGCATCTGGGTTTGGGGCCTCTGGGTTTGGGGCCTCTGTGGGCAGGTCAGTCAATCCCTCCAGCGCGCAGGCTGACACCAAGGAGGGGTCGGGCCCCCGCTGAGGACCCCGGGGCCGGCTCCCAGGACTTATGTACTCCTCCATCTCCAGTCTGGATCCCTGGGAGGATCCAGATCCCTGCTGAAGTGCCGAGTCACGTGGGGAAAGCTGTTGGCACGACTGGGCTCCACCTGCGCCCAGGGCAGCAGCGAGGAGGGGGACTCAGCCCCCCCAGGGACCCAGAGCCGAACCACAGTGTGGTCTGAACAAGATGACGGGGTGGTTCTGTGATAAGAATAAACTGTGGCTTCTTTCTGTTCTGTCTAGAGGGAAGAATAAAGGTCTAAATCTCTGGGCATGAAAAAGCCGTTCAAATACACCATCACTACCCATTCTCTCTCTGTCCTCTCTCTCTCTCTCTCTCTCTCTCTCTCTCTCACACACACACACACACACACACACACACTTCCATCCCGGGACATCCTCAGGGCTTGTGCCCTGAGTGTGCTGAGCATCTGCTGTGCCTGACCTCACAGGAGCCCCGAGTGTATGGCACCGCCAAGGGATTTTACAGATGGAGAAACTGAGGCTCAAAGACCACTTGATTTCTCCAGGGCCACTCGGGTGAAGGGCCTTGCCCAGGGTCCCACAGATGCTGATGAGCCCAGCTGGGCACGCTGCGGGTGGCCT